TCCTGCTGATTGCTCACATCTTTTCCACCTTGCCATCTTAGGGCTTTGGCTTTTTTTGTTCAGCAGCTTTTTAATCTTTAGCTCTGGGTTCTTTGCCTTGTCGGTAGTGAAACAGTCATTGCTAAAGAGGCAGACTACTGGATATAATTTGGCTTTTCAGGGACGTGATGCAAGGACAGCATGTTGACCCAGAGGAGGCTGTTCAGATTCACCAGGACCTTCAGGCCAAACAGTCGGTTGCCATGCACTGGGGGACCTTTGTTCTTTCCAATGAGGTAGGATATATACATTGTCACATACTTTGTAGTGAGTGTGTAATTTGTTAAAAACTACAAAGACAAAGCATCAGCTTGTCAATGATTTAAGTAACTGTACAATCACAGACCACTTTACTACAATTAAATCCAGTACAACACTGTGATGTTTCTGAGGCTCTTAACATTTCAGTGAATTGCCAGAAATGTATAAATTTAATAATTACGTCACTCTTTCAGGTGGTGGTGTACCAGTTATATTAGGGACACTTCTGAATTTAATGGCATCTTGTACAACACCTCTTTAACTATGATTTACATTACATTTGACAAGCACAACTAAGATGAACATTATGACCTCTAAGTAATTATGAATATGTTATGGCAGGGCTGTTGTATTAGACTTCAGTCTGTTGTAGCAAAGTGCTCTGTGAGTGTTAAGTTGCTTAATCATTAACTAACTGATGCTGTGTGTATAGTTTAAGGAAGTTGTTTGACATTTTGGAAATGTCCTTTCAACAGAACCAGGTTAGCTGTTTCCAGTCTTGATTGTTAGTGTGAATCGGTGAATGGCCAAGTAGTGTGAAAGCGCTTTGAGTGTGCTGTAAAGCATAGAAAAGCGCTATACAAGTTTAAGACCATAAGACCATTCTAAGCCAACTGTCTGCTTGATCCAGCTACTCCTGAAAGGAATCTTGCGTAACTCTCAGCAAGGAAGCAACTTCCTCAAGACATTGAACTATTCCCGTAACACACAAGCATCACATGAAACACAAAGCAAAGAAAGGTTCTTAAGAAACTTGGTAACTGAAGTGGGAACCATGTCCCCAGATGAGGTACACTGAGCTAAAACTAATGCAGTCTAACAGTCTAATAAATGATGGTGATAATGTTCAGTTCTTGTTAAAACTGTTTCAGTGAGGTGTTGATACAACTGTGTGATAATGCTGGAAAATGTGGTGGTATTTAATTGTATTGTTTCTCTTATTTTGTCCACCCCATTAATATCAATGAGGGTTAGGCTAAATAACAAATGCCTCTGTTATAATGGAATAAACTTCAAGAGCACCACAAACTACATTTTCTGAAATGATCACAGGGTTTAAATTCACACTAAAATAACAGAACATTATCACCTTATCATAACCCACATGTGTCAAACTCAAGGCTGGCCCGCGAGATCATTTTATACATACATACATACATACATA